ACAAAGGTGAAGTGCTCGCCGTCAGGTTTCCTCGCGAGCACATCAAACATCCGAGCCCTGCGCCGTCAGCCGACATGTAAGCCACTAAATCACGCCGCCCTCACAACCTCTTCGATGAGCACAACATGTTTCCTATTCTTGGTCGCGGCCGAGACTTCTCTTCTGAAGCACGTAGATAAGGCATAAATCCTGGCCACTTGACTCGGTCCGTTGGTCAACCACTTTGGTACCCCCTTTTTCGACACAAATTGCAGGCATCTTCTCCCCACCCCCGCCCGTTCACTCCATTTGATCCCGACCACCAGCCACGGCAACCAGGCGTCGGATGGCGTGATCATTGCCTCTAAAGGCGGGATCTCATTTCGCCCCCCATTTCACCTCAACTATGCCATCGCCTTGGACGCAGACCAGATGAACTTTCGTCTAAAATGCTCTTCGTCACGATCGCTCTCGATGAATTCCAGTTCAGCTTTCTTCTGCTCGCCTCGAGTCAACCGCCATTCATCGTCTTCTCACCAATTCGCGTTGTCAGGCCTGAGACGCCTGCAATGATACAGAATCGTCAATCCATTCTACCCTCAGTTTTGCCGACAAAACGGGGTTCCAGCATCCCCAGGCTTCGCAAGGCAGGCTTCATAATTGAAGTTGATGTCCGATAAGGATAATTCAAGTTATGAGTTAATGACAAGTGCATAGTGAGACCTATTCACCATCTGAATGAGGAAAAATTCTACCGTCAGTCCTTTCCCATCTAATTCAGCCGGAATGAATATAGCTCTTATTCAAGCTCACTACTCACTACTGAGATAAGTAGTGCATACAATCAACTCATTTGTGGCAAAATTCAACCATAATTCCTTTTTTCGTTATTGAGTATAGGCTTTCGAAGCTACCAGTAAATCATATATCTGAGCTGTGTTCACCCTCTTTCTTTTAAAGTCATGAACGACTAGTAGCTGAATTTTCCCACAATCATATGAGTAAAGTCATCTCTATCCATATGATTGTCCTTCATGACCTTAAACGAAATAGGGTGAAAACATATCATATTACTTCCTTTAAAACCTACTACTCATAACAAATAGAAGTAGTGATTTAAAGACAATGGCATCGTGGGGCCTACT